GTTTTATCAACTTCCTTTCTCTCTATATACTATTATAATAAGAGCCAGTAGCCTAAGGCATCTCACGTTATAACGATTAGACGACTTCTGTCACATTCATTTAATTGGGAATTTTAAGGGGTTCCCGAGAAAGAGAGAGTGAGGGAGAGAGAGAGAGAGAGAGAGAGTCATCAGGGTTGGGGCCGCGAGTGGGACAAAGAGGGCGCACGTGTAACGCAGGTCACACAAAATAAGAGCTAACTAGGGAAGGTCGTCAGGTCGAAGTGGCCATTTGTAAGGAGATGTAGCTCACTAGACGTGGTTTTGGACGCTGATCTCGAATCTGCCTTCGAAATTTGCAGAACGATTCTCTGAACGGAATTATGAAGGTTTGTTAGAATTAAAATGAAGGAAACAGAGTCGAGCGCGGTTGCCGGCCAATTCGCATGAATAGCCGGGAAGCACCATACGATCAACGGCGGGTGTAGTGGTAATGGTCTTGCTTCGCGGGCATGCCATGAAGGGTTCGAACTTCTTTTGCATTTTGTGGGGAATGTCTCTTTTGAGTCTAGAAAACCATCAAACGCAAATGGGTGCCATATTCGTGTTCAGGGAGCAAAACTACCCTCGGGGACAGGTTTCTAGACAGATGTGATGTTTTGACCCAAAAAGTGCGGTAGCAGTTGATCGAATGATGAGTCACAAGGGAACCAGGTCTTCTTGCGACTGCTCGAGGTGGATGTCCTATTGCTTGTCTTTGGACAGAATTTGCTTTTAGATACCAGGAAAACTGGAGCAGTAACAAAATGAATGCGTAAGAAGTGGCAAGACGAGGCTTTGTGCAGGAGAATGTATCTGCAGCTGAATAGGTGTGAACATCAACTGAACTAACCCATGGATGCTTCACTTTTCGAAGTCAGGTCAAAATGGCAGATTTGGCTAGAAACCTCTACCTAGGCGTAGTTCGCCCCCATAAATACGAATATGGCACTCGCTCAGCGCGAAAACGCCTGCACTGCGCGCCAAGGGCACCTGTACATCTCCTAGATCATAAGGCACTAAGCGCGCCAGTAAGCGAACGCTTTTTCAGGCAAGTCAAGGAGAGCGCTAATGTAGTAGTGACGCTACAACCACTTTTTGCCACGTTTGCACAAGAAGCAAAAAAGTTAAGCTCAGCAGGGATCCGATCCCACGACCTGTTGCGTGGTAAACGCGGTGGAAAAAGCTCCATAACTCCGTTCAGAGAATCGTTCTGCAAATTTCGAAGGCAGATTCGAGATCAGCGTCCAAAACCACGTCTAGTGAGCTACATCTCATTACAAATGGCCACTTCGACCTGACGACCTTCCCTAGTAAGAAATGACGAGTAGCAATTGTCAATGTCGTCTCGAGACACCATCGACACGTCAATGGCACGTCATATATCTCATAACAGGTATCTGGGTAGCCAACCCGTGTTACGTTCACACCGAAAAAAAGATTTTTGGATTAATAGAATCCTCTATTTTTGGATTAATAGAATCCTCTAAAGTCGTTTTTTCTTCTTATGGGAAACTGAAGGACCTGGGATAGAATGAGGCTGCGTTTATACTTTGCGGCAGCGTAGCGTAGCGCTTCCAGCGTACGCCAGCGGCAGTGCCGAAGAGAGGATGCATATCATCTAGCCTCACAGCGTCACGCGGCACCTGAGCTACGTAGCGCGGCGTACGCCAGCGTTTCTCGCGTTTCACAGCGCTTATTGCTTACGACTTGCAGCCAGGGGAAGCGAGACGCCAAGAGTCACCCGACGCGCTTGAACTAAGGTCACGCGCGCGACAATGTTCGACGTGCCGCTCGGTGAGTACCTACTTGTATTTTGCACAGGTCGAACCAATACGACCTATACGCCATTTTCTCGTAGCGTTTCTCTCTTTTCCTATTTCTATCGTCAAGAACTAGTCCAAACAAGCTTAGACATGTCCAAACATGCAAACATGTTAAAGCATGTAATCGCCGCACGCGCTGACCCACTTCCCAGCGCGGCGACCTAGTTTCGGGCGCGGCGGTGAGTCCTGACAACCCCCCCCCACCCGAGGGCACGAGTAGACTAATGTGGCCGTGAGAAAGCGATCGACTGTATGTAGAGAACATGTGCTTCGGAGACACAGAAGCATGTGCATTGAGGACTATAGTGCCGTCGTAACGCGAGCGATGGCAATCTGTAGAGACATATGGGCGTCGGAAGACGCAGAAGACACGATGTATTTAGAGATAAGGCGATGAGAGACGCGCAATCGACTGTGTTTTGTATCCTCCAGATCTCACTATAGTCTCTACCCCTGGCGCACTGCAAGCGGCTAGCCAAAAACGTCTGGTGAACGTGGAGTAACTGGATTGCCGCTGTGAACGCTGTGTGAAGCTAGATTCCGATATGCTACTTTCTCCAGGTCCACTGCCGATGGCTACGCTGGAAGCGTACGCTTACGCTGGCCGTCAAAAAGATATAAAAGCAGCCTAGAGAAAACTGAACCGCTTTTATCCACAGTAAATCTCGAGCAGCACATATCAGTACATGCAATGCTACTCGCGCACCACCCACCACCAATCCTTCAATCTTACCAACCTTCTATGACAGTGAGGGAAAAATCCTACATACTGCACCATAAAATGACGTTGTTCGCCTTAAAGGGGCAGTTGAAAGCGTCTTTGTGCAAAGGTGGGATTACTTTGAGGCACCAACTCTCATAAAGTGTTTGGTTATCCGACCTGGAAAGTATTACTCAACTCTTTCTCTCCTGGACTTAGCAAATCCACCTCCCTTTAGGTACAGCGAAATCCCTGATCGGGTAGGCGTGCGCGCATGATTCAACCTAACTTGAGGTAGTCTATGCATCTTGTGTCGTGTCTCTGTCCAACACAGAACAAGATGACAGTTGTCCCAGACTGGAATATTCCACGAGTAACCAATTCCGTGCCATGTTCAAATGCCACGCCTACTCTGGCTCAGGGATAAGGAGTGTACCTCCAGTCTTCCAAGAACAGTCCTTTGCTTCCGCTCGCGGACAGTGCAGGAGTGCTTTCTCCCTAAATTGTAACACCTTTTCAAATTGGTGGAAGCCTGGGCCACGTTTTACTCTGACGAGACAAACCCTCTATGAAGCTACAATATGTTGCGAGTGAGCCACGTTGATCACAGGACATTACTACTTTTTCTAAGATGGCCCGTGCAAGCTCAGCTGGGTGCCATTTCGGTGCCCCACAAAGCCAAACAGCGTTCAACCAGGGTGCAGGCAAACACTTACCTTGCATAGGCCCACTCTCTGGCCGAGCGATTTGTCTGATGCAAAGCGGAGGAAGGAGTTTGACAGTAATGCTTGCAGGAGTTATTATCTCCGATACACAATAGCCTTCGTTATACCCTGCACTACATAATGTCCATCTGGTACGACTATGCCCATAAAACCCGCTCCTGAATTATTTATTTTTTTATAATTAAGGCTACAGAATGTTTAGCACGTGTCATAGCCTGGGCGCTAGTGCGTTCAGTTTAAACTGATACCGTATTTCAGACTGGTTTGGCTCTTTCTCCCCACAGCCGATGTTCTATCAACAACCGATGTTCCAGCAGACTTACCAGGGTTGCGAAGGTTCGACTACAGTCACTTCCAGTTCACTCTGCATGCTTGAAGATGCTCTTTCAGTGCAACAGTTCATCGGATTTTATGCTACACGGTGGAGGTATTACTGTGTGTGCAACGGTATCGCCACATACCAATATGATCGCTGTGTTCCTGTTATTATTTACTATCAGGTTTCATCAGGTTGAGGCGTATGGGGTCATTTGCTGTGGATGCAACACCGTGTGAGGGGGGGGGAAGTGGTTAAACTTGACACAGCACCAACTCGTTCCCTACTAATTGCTGAAACTCTGCAAACGGCAACAATTGGTGAAATACCGGCTGGCGCCGTGCCAGGCCATCCGCCTCACAGATCCCTGCATCCGCAGCAAAAGAGACTGTACCTATTTTCAAGGCTATAGGACGCAACACCTCAAAGGACAGACCACCTCAAAGCGTATATTTGTGTGTTTTCGTGAACCCATTTCGAAAAAAAAAATTGCTTCAAAGCCAAGTAGGAGATCGGGAGCTGCTAAAAATCCTTGCAAAAGAGTCTCTGTGGGTAGAAACTTTCTTTGGGCCTCACACGGATAAGTGTAGGACGTACCCTGATTCACATATTTGTGTGCTATATGACAACAGAATTTATGTCTGGCCTATTTTTTTCACTCTATTTTGGTGGCCTATTTTTCTTTTCACTCTATTTTCTTTCCATTATTGCCTTTTTGCAATAAATATTTTTGCTTATGCTAAGCAGTAATCATGCATATTGCTATAGACGTGGCTGTTTTGTCTGGCATTTTTGGGCCTGTTTCGCCGGAAGCTCATATAACTTTCTTCAAATCTAGTAGCTCACTGTAAGAGTTATTGAAATATTCCGCTATACGAGCTATGATTTTTAATTTTGGTTTCGTTTTGAGCCTCGTCTTCCTTCCCTCGAGCAATTTTACCCACATTTTGGGCAAACTGGAAACGTAGATAACATATTCAATTGCAGAGGGGATGTAGTGAAGGGGAAGGAGGGCAAAAAAGGGCCACTTTGCTCAGAATTGATGTTGCACAGTGTTACAAAATACGTTGTTCAGCTACGTGGGGGTGATCAGGGAAGCCTGTAGAGGCCACCTTGTGAAGGCGTGTAGTTTTCCTCCTCGAGACGCGAAGGTACCCTCGCTGTAGCCATTTTGAAACTGCCACAAAACAATCTACGTTTTTCTGTAGCGCTTGCTTGAGAAACTTAGTTAATGTGATGCGCAACTTAAATGAAGCCAGCGATACTGCCGAAATCGCATCACCCCTCCCCCCCCGCTTCGCCTTAGGTCAAACAGTGTGAAGCTATTTTTCTAGTAAAACGCTTTATTGTATAGGCAATAGTTCCTAATAAGCTGATTTCTTCTCAGTTTGGTCCATCTCCCTCCTTGCAAGGTTTCAGGTGTTGTGCGTAGACACACCCTTTCCCGATGCTGGTTCGCGAGTTGTTGTAGTCAGTGCCTTGAGAAATCGATTCGTCAGTACAACCAGTGTATCTCGTTGATCTTCCCTCATACGCAGATCCTTCAATAAAGGGAAGAAATCGGCAAGGTTGGCAACGAAGCGCTCAACACCAGGCCGAACACCAACTGTGAGATCTGTGAAGTTCTCCACTGAGTCCACACGAGACAGCATTATCTAAAATAGAATTTTGTTTCGACTGCAATCTCTTTACCCATGATAGAGGTGTAATAAAAGTCTGAGGCGACTAGGTGTACGTAAACTCGCAAGAGGCAGTTCGGCTACGTGGGGGATGGACATTTTGCACTTTTGCTACTTCCCATCGACGTGTTGACCCACCTAGACAGCCTGTTCTCAAGTTGACAGATTTTACCATGATGGCTTACGAGCTTGCTCAGCCTTACGAGAGTTAACAGGTTTCACCAGAGTGAAACTTGTAAACAGGAACTGATGAAGCAACGAAGGTGCAAACACCCCCCCCCCCTCCCCGTCAAACTGCGCCAAGTCGCAGTTATCAAGTCAGTCGGGAAAGTCAGCTGGACATGGGTTTCGGCCCTTTCCCACTACTCGGTGAACGCCCCCCCCCTCCAGCAGGTGGCCCCACACCAATCAGTTTTAGCACGCACTCAAAATGAACTTCTAGTCAATTTTCTTCTAGGAATGTGAAGGGGTGGGTGGGATTGAAGCTAGGCCAATTTTTTCACTGACGTGCGGCATCAACTTGTAGGAGTGCTGCACTGGCTACACTCCCATCCAAGCCCTCACGCCCTCTCATTTGCAGAGGTAATGTATCCATAAAGAAAGTTGTTCAGTTTGAACCAAAACTACCTACATTTATGGCATCGACGTCGTACGAGTGGACAAGGTGCGAAAAGTTCACGTTGTTGTGTCCAAACCCAGACGTGGATACGGAGCACATGTGTTCAAGCTGACAGATCTCCTTGAGCGTTAACGAATGCAGAATACTGAAACAATAGCTGGAGAGAATGCTATCCAGCAGAAAAGCAAGACGCCGTTCGGCTTGGAGGGGTAGGGCTATTTGCACTTTCGCTGATTCCCTCTGCTAGCTCATGTTAACTAGCAGGTTCCATTCTGGTGAGACCTATAAGCTTTTCTGAAGCTGCAAAATGGTGAAAGTGAGAAAACCTCAGTTGTAGGAATCTGCAGGCCTCCACGAGCTGAACCGCGCAGCCCTCGGTGCCCCCGTCGACGGCGATGGTGCAAAAAGCAAAAACATTCGCACCAAACATATCTAGTACACTATGCTCGGTAGAAATTTCAGTCTCTCTCGAAGCCATGAACTATCAGTGAATAAAGCTGGATATTATTTTTGAATTGCTAGTGAATGAAGAAATCGAGAGGAACCCGAGAAATCCACGCTTCGCTAGAGCCCTTATTTCATGGTATTACCCTAGCGTTTTGCTCTTTTATCCTGGGTTCCCTTTGTGCGTCACTTAAGCAGCTAATCCCGAACTTGAACCAAAGGTAATGGCCCATCGAACGGGCCTGTGACTACAAGCCACATCCGCTTACATCCGCTAGCACCTATAAAAGTTGTATACAGTACATTCACTTTACTTTATATATTTTTATATTAATTAGTGAAGAACGTGAGCAACCGACTTTCTTCCAATAGATCTGCTCCTGCAAGACATATGCTTGATGGGACTATTGAAGAGCAGTGCAGGAGAAGGAACTGAAAGAAATAGAGTTAGCATCTTATAATAAATCGCCTATAAACTGAGTATCAGCAAGGAATCGCCGAACTACAAGGGGAGCCGTCACCTCTGCACACGACTTTCATTAACTATCCCAGGGACTCATTGTTCAACAAATCCGCTTAGAGTCTTTTGCATCAATACAGACCTTCTCTCAGCATAAAAACACCACACCTTCCCCAACAATCCTAAAACGACCCTCATGAGGAATAGAATGGAAGAAAGGTGGAAAAGACGAGGAAGAACCTATGAGAAACTGCTTCTTATTGAACAAAACACTCACATTACTGATAATATTATGCGATAAGGCGAATCGTGCGATTTCCGTGCACACTTTGCAAAGCCCACACAGACGATGAGCGGAAGCGGCATAGGCCCCAAAATGTTCTGATAACAAAAGAACTGCTATTACTAAGAGTACACCATCGAAAAGACGCATAGCTGAGCTACTGAGTTGTTTGTTTCTTGGACTTTTGTTTTGTATACGAAATCCCCGGCGGCAATTGTTGAGTGACATTTGTTTTTTCACAGCTGCTAGTTGTCAACATTCCATGGAATATCTTGGGACAAATAAGTTCAGCAGCTATTTTGAATGCTTTCATGCAAAGCAGGGTTCCTTAGGATTGCCTGTGATTCTTAAAAGAAACGTAATTAAGGGAACAAGAAACTACAGGGAACGGGGACACGGTCGAGTGGGGGAGGGCAAGTTGGGAACCCTTTTCAATATACTGGACAATGTTGTGAAGTCCTGTAAACTCTTACAGAGCTACAAAATGAGAGTTCTCCACGCAATTTCTCCGGCCTAATCAATTGAACCACTTGCCATTTATAAACTGTGGGTGCTCTGCTAGTCCAGTAAACGTCGAACCCTATCAAAGCTTTTTCCAAATGAAAGCGAAAATCTAATCCCAAGGTGGATTTCTCTCTAGAAGCCTAGAAGCTCCATTAAACCTGATTTTGGGTGACAAGATCCCGAGAACCTTCTACAATTTTCCTGCGATTTTTTTCAGCCTTACGAGCTCCTACTTGCACGGCGATTTGCACTTTGGCAAAAGAAGATGGGGTAAAATGAGCTCAGTCAACATTTTTGGAATCATTGCAGCCCGGAAATGACTGCTAACATAAGAGGTGTCAGAAGCAAATGTGCACTCATCCTTGCTCATCGGCGCGGATCCGAACCACGGCCTTCCTGCACGACATCGCCGAACATAACCACTGCGCCATCAAAAAACCGCATCGTCGAAACCGCTAAAGCGCGCTTTAAAGGCGAGGCATCTTTTCCCACAAACATTGTACATAACTTCGAAAGATGCAAAGCATTGTAACAATACTTCCATTACTAAGCAGCAGTCCTTCAGTGTAAGAAACATCTGGGCAACCTCGACTTAGCCGCGTTCCTCACTGTTTGCATAGCCAGATGGGTGTTATTAACCACATTGGCGACAAGGCGCCTTTTTTTCGCCGTGTCTGCCGTGTGGGACAAAGCAGTTTTTCCCTATTTTCGAAGAATGCGCATAAAAATGCTAGGGCGTTTATACGCCAAAAAAAAATTGAAGAATGGTCAGAATTCATTGCAGAAGCTAGTAAGGCTTCGCTATTCTTGTTTACTTTCAAGATAAACCCTGAAATTTCATGGAATACTCCCGCCTCATTCACGTGGAGCGTGGGAACAAGGTCGCAAAAAAGGAATATTTTCGCGCGCCAGGTGGTAAATTGGATTCGATTCAGATCTGCTATTGTTGAAAGTTACCTTATCACATTAGCTATCTGCATGTGGAGCTTCAGTTCTATATATCCAAGAATTATCTTTTTTTTCCTAGGAAATGCTTTCGTTTGTCTCCTCGGTAAAATACTCTCAATGACACAACTGCACGGTTTACAGCTACTGTATATTCTACAATGCCTTCATGGACAATATGCAGCTGTTGAAAATTCGAAACGTCTTCAAATTGGTTTTTTTACCCATGCCGCATCCCAGCAGTGGGACGCAATGTCGCCACGCGCAAAAAAGGTGTCCGCACCAGTGGACGCAATGTCGCCAACCGTGTTAATGTTCTGAACGGGAGAAATCTCTGTTTACTTCGAATAGCTCACGTGTCCGCCCCAAGAGAATTCGAAATACGACGCCTCATCCACTTCCCTCACACGGCAATATCTGGAACCTGCCGTTGCAGGCCACACATTGGGTAAATCCTAGGCCCATGATGTGACTTGTGCGCTTTGGACGATTTTTTAGTTATACAAAGAAGGAATCTTGGGCCCTTGATGTTATCGCTGTCGGCCAGCCCCAGCAGTTCGACGCCCTCCGCATCTCTCTAACACCCAATAAAAAGGTAGGAATTCAGGCGATAAAACAAAAGGTCTAGTCAACAGATAAACCTGGAGCAGAACATTTTTTACGGCGTGGTCTCCCTGACGCGCCCCGTTATACCAATGATCTCCTGCAACATTAGGGATTGCGAAGGGACGTGAACTAGAGTCGTAGCCAGAAACAGCCTTCCAGAATAATTGCAAGACTGCAGGACGGATGGCATTATTGGTGGAAATAAGCGGGGAGGCACTCCAAATGCCACAAGCCCCGATGACACGCCCGCATCAATTGGCAGGATGCAATAGCTGTAGAACAGATTGCAGGGATCATAGCTGTAGACAGGTGGACTCACTAGTCACAAGGTAACCTGGCTAACTGTTGTTTATCAGAAGTGAAATCTGTGGAAGAATGTTTCCTTGAAGTTCATTCCAAATAGGAAATAGAAATACTGCGAATATTTTATTCAAACCGTAACAAAAGCTGGAATTTGAAAGACATTGTAAAGCACACTTTGGCGAGCACTGAACAGAAACATTGGTTCTTCGCTAACAGTAAGCATAAGGTAAAACTAAAAGTAAATCAAGCAGTGCCTTATAGGAAATTTGAGCGCTGTTCGGCTCAAGGGGGGGGGGTGCACCAAATGGCTTTCAGCAAGGCTAGTACAAGCCATTTTGTGAAGACTTGTGAATCCCTGTACTGAACGAACACACTTGGACCTTTCGCGTTTCCGACGAGTTTACAGGTGTTAATCTGTTGGTTAACAAGTAACAAAAGGAACTAGATAAAGTGCAAGTGCTCCCTCCGAAGCCGAACAACGCCGAAATCTTATCTATCATCGAAGCGTCAAAGCACAAAAAACTGCTATAAAGCTCGGATATTCAACTGTACAACATGAGCTGAACTGAGCGCTAGTCCAATACTGGTAGGCATCTTGGCGCACAGCATAGAACGCTCAGAAAACCAGTACGTACTAGCATTCTTCCTTCATAGTAGGCATACAGGAAAAGCTTTCTTGTGAGCCTTAGTTGAAGGTGTAACCGTTGGGTGAAATGGGCCAACCACTCTAGATCTTCTTTCTTCTTTGGTTTTAGGCAAGCATTTTCTCACCGTCTGATGTACGAGCGTTCCACGTTTTCCAGCGCTAAACACCGTCCGATGGTTCTGCAGCTTCGAAAACTGCTTGCGTAGAGTTGAGATTACTGTAATCCGACGATACATTGCACCAAAATTTCTCTGAGTGCTGGTCTCGCGCCGATTTTCTCTATCAAAGGCATGATACTATCAAGAGAAAATCTTTCCTACTTATTTTACAATTTACATGTATCAGGCTCTTGGAGGCATAGCCGAATATGGAGATACAATCTCCATATCCATCCCTTCTCGATCCTGGAGATCTAATCGTTTCCGTTCAAAGATGAGCCTATCTGATCTAGCTTTTTCTACTAGCACTGTTCACAGTTGCTTAGGAGCTTCATGGACCAACTGAATCGGCTCCATTGAAAAATGCATAATTTCTGAGGTTCAGGTGAGATTCGGCGTTTTCTTTGTGAACAAGAGCACGTTCGTCTTCGGTTACGCAAGCCTTGTCTCCCTGAAAGTGAACTTTTTTCTCAGCTACAGACTTCATTTATATCTTCAGGCCAAAGAAGGGCTCATACCTGGAAAGCGTTCCTATGGACATAGTCCACATCACAGCCAGCATCGATATCATCGATTGACACCACACTATCCAAAACTTCATCCGCCCTAGAAGATTGAAATTGTTTTTGGAGCTCATATTGGTCAGACTTCCGAAAATGAGTTTATACTGGCCAACAGGTCTAATCGGTACGTGCGCTATACCCAAGAAATGATCAATTCACCCCTTCCCCCCTCGATTAAAATGCCTACTCACTGAAGAATGATGGGCCTTCAGCAGTGTGGTGACTGGCTCTATAGTTATAGTCTTGTCCGCTGCGGAACAAGGAGCGTGTCAGCGAGGCCGCGTTTGGCGCCGCCAGACCAGTCTCCACCGGTTGTTGAACCGAGTAAGGGACACAAACTGGTGGAAAATGATGGAGACGAACGATAAGATACACTTTTGCTTGCCAAAACAAAAAAAAGTGGGCTGCCATCGCGCCAAACCCATGTCCCTGAGATATCCGCATCCCTGACATGTCGCCTGAGATACCCACTAGACAGTAGCAACTACGATTTGCTTTGAACTACAGCGCCTGCTGCTGGTCTTCTTAAAAGCTCAATCCGGGATGGAGTTGCCCAGACAACTATGCGATTCTTAAGCCTTTGAGCCTCGATTTTTCTAAATTTACAAAGAGGAAGGTACACCAATGACGGAATCACCATGGTAAGAGTGAGTCGGCCATATGATCGTAGAATCTACTTTTAATGGGCACTGGCAAAGTACCCAGCATGATGCGTCCTCTCTCCTGCTCCCAGATGTTCTTATCCTCATTGAGTCATGGAGCTGCGTTCATGCTGTGCGCCTCGAGCCATTCAATCGCGCTATCAAGGAATCGCGCCTCCGCAACTGACCACGGGACCGCTGCGACTGATAATCTAATCGCTGTCGCGATAATGCTTGTTTCAAACTTTGCAGCGCTTCAGCGTATAGCACTGGTTAGGGATCAGTCGCAGCCTCGCGCACGAATAGATGAATAGCTCGACCCGCAAACAGGGTACAGCATCGTTGTGTGAAACACACTAGGGGAGGTCGTACTTTTCGACTGTGGAGAAAAGTCGACCCGTATGTGGCTTTGAAAGGAATTTGCCGCGTTGGGAAAAAATTTTTCCCGGTTGTTGACTTTTCGCGTGATTTTTCCTGTTTCATGTGTACTATTTACCCCCCTCCCGCTCGACAGCAAAATTTTTGGGTAAAAGTAGGGAAATTTTAGGGAAATTCCGGAAACAAGGGGTAGGAAATTGAGGATTTTATCTAGGCAATTTTCCCGTTTCACAATGGCTACATACCTCCCGCTCGACTGAAAATTCCTGGGTGAAAAACTGGAAATGTGGGAAATTGGTAAGTAGGTGCCGAAGAAGGTGGGGGGGGGGGTGTCGTACCAAGACCCTCCCTCGAGAGGGGGCGGGGCCCGCCAACACTATTTCACACATCACGGCGCTGTACCCTGCCCGCAGAGAGTGAACTAACCATTTGTAATTGTTTTTTTTTTAGAATTTGAGAAGTTACCGATGTGGTTCAACACAGACGTAATCATACGCATCGATTCCTCGCCATACGCGACCAATTTTACATTCGTTTTGACCAAACGTCTTTCTGAAACTTGCGAACTGTTACACGATTACTTTAGTTCTTGCAGTACTGTTGCAGTACTTGGGCTCTACCGATCAAAGTGCCTAGGATGAAAAAGAGGACTACGGTTGTCTCTACTGACCCACCGAAATGAGCGGTTAATAACGATGGGCCCTGTCCCCATTTCTTACAAATACTAATAGACTATAGAGTTTGCACAGGCGTGCTGTTCATGGCACGGTGGAGTCCCCAGCAGGAGTAGTATATAGTCCCTGAACTTAGGGGGTCGTATTTTGCCCAAGAAATTCTTTAGACAGTTGGCTTTTCCCGTTTCGCGAGCGCTATCCGCAATGCATTCCCACTACTTGGGAAAAATGAGAGGTTGGAAAAATTCAGGAAGATGGTAGGTAGCATGGGAAGGGGGGGGAGGATGAACTTATTTCTAAAAAATTTTTCCCAGCGAAAGGAAGCACGGTGGTGCTGTCACAAAATCATTTGACATACAACCACACTTCGGTATTTAGTTTCAAGGCTGAGGCACTGCTTGAGCTAACGGCATGTCAGAGTCGTCAGGGCGGACTCTGCCCGCCTGGCATAAGCCCTGGACGGGGATCGCGTGTGCGCCATTCGCACCGGGACCTTATAAGTATTTCGTGAAAGTGAAGGGTAAACCGATTCAACAAGCTAGGTGATTCCGGCAGCGAGAAAATAGTCACTATTTGTCATCACAATCTGGATTTCCT